TCAAATATAGTATTTACCTATTTCTCTTCTAACACAGACTTCTGCTTGGATACAAAGGTTTCTTCATGCAATTATTTTAAAACATAATTACATCTAAAAATATGTTCTCTAGAAAAATTGCTTGAATTCCCTAAAAACACCTCATATCACTCTTCTGCCTGAAAACCTTCAATGACACTCAGTGTCTGTAATTTCCTTAGTCTGACTTTCAAGGCTGTCCTTGATCTGACTCCAATGGACCTTACCTCCTGGAAATCCCTTTCTAGTATCTCTTGTTTCAGTCAAAATGTAAAGCATTGTTCTCTAAATATAACCCTGATTTTCCACAGGTATGCCTTTTGCTTATGCTGGTCTTACACCTTAAATGCCCCTATCTTTCCTCACCACCAAACTATCCATGCTGAAACCTACTAATTTTTCAATACCTTCTTCAAGTATAACCTTGTCATGAAATCTCTGATTGTCCCAGGTTGAAGTTATCTCTCAATTCTGGAAACTCCCATAATTTCCTTATGGTTCTTATGGTAGTTTACTTCACCGTTATCTATAATCATAGTTTCTCTCCCCATCTTATTAAAAGCTTAGTGAGGGTAGATTATAATTTATCTATCCCTTATATCTCCCTCAATACCTATTACATAATAAGTGTTGAATAAAGTACAAGTCACATATACAACAAATCCAGGAAAATTAATGCCTTATATTAATAGATGGTGCTTTTTATTCTTCAAAACTAACATATATTAGTTTATTTACTCAATAGCACTCCAAGGGAGCCCTGGTGGCTCAGTGCAAGAGGTAGGTAGAAAAGGCATTGTCTCCACTGCACAAATTGCACAGTGTACAAATAAAGACAATATATTACATTGTATATTATTTGTCTCTTGTTTAAATAAAAAAACTGAGCTCAAATAACTTGCCTAAGGTAGCATAACTAGTTAATGAATTCCTTGGGTTTATAAACCAGCTCTTGATATTTCCACTACATATATATATATATATATATACACACACATATATATGTATATATAGTTTCACCAAATCATCTGATGATTACCCTTACTATATTTTTCCCATTCTAATGTCTCATCATCAGAGTGAAAAGTATCAAAAACATATTAGAGGACTAAAATAGTTTCTTTGCTGATTTTCAAGGTCTTTCCCTGGAAAAAAATCCTGAAATTCAGGGTATATCTTGAGTTTTTAAGGTTTCTCTTACACCTAAAGGAGCAAAACACCTCTCTAGCGTCTACTTTCCTTTCTTCATTGTCCTGAGCTACTCAAAAGCACTCTCACTGAGATAACTATTAGGGCCGTTTGTACTTCATCTGATTTATTAGCTCTGAAAAAAATAGCTATTTTAACAAACAACTGGAAATAAAATACATTTTTGTGAATAGTGAATTCCCTAGGGAAACCAGTTTCCCAGCTCTGATTTAGGGTATCCTAGTGGTTGCTATGAGTCGGAATCGACCCGAGGGCAATGGGTTTGGTTTGGGGTTTTTTTTTTTTGTTTTTGTTTAAGTGGTTAAGCGCTACGGCTGCTAACCAAAAGGTTGGTAGTTCGAATCCACCAGCCGCTCACTGGAAACCCTATGGGGCAGTTCTACTCTGTCCTATAGGGTCACTACAATTTGGAGCTGACTCAACGGCAATGGGTTTTTTGTTTTTGTTTTTTTGGTAAGATATGGCCAATTATCTCAAGGAGTGTAGTGAAATTATCCGAAAACAGCAAACTGATTTTGATCCACTCTTATCTTAAAATTGATAATTCCATATGGCACTTTTCAAAAGGAGGAGGAGGCAGAGGAGGGTTGTTACAACTTTCCCAAAGTGGAAAATCATTACTTTAGGCAGTGCCGCAAAACAGGCTTATATTTTATACTAGAACTGAGCCCTAATTATAATCAAAATTCTTTCTTATCAGAAATCTGCCTAAAGAAAGTTGTCAACAGGATAATATTGATGTATTTAGCAGATCTGAGTCACAAGAATGAATGACGCAATAATAAGCTGAATGTTTGATCAGAAAAACCAGGGTCTTCTTGCAAAATTGAAGGGCTTAGGTAATATGAGAATTACATAAAAATGCAATGTTTTGTTGAGCTTAGGGGCCTATGACTACACTCTGTAAATATATAAACAACCCCCACTGAATTTGTAGAAACTTATTTAGTCAGGACTGTTCTCCCCTGCAATCACTTTTAAATGGGCCTCTTGTTTTCAGGCATCCAAGCATTGCTTCTGACAGTGAATAATAAAGACAAATATCTAGCCTCCTAATGTAACCATGAGTCTAACCTAACTGTAGAATTAAGTTCCACAACTTGAAAAACATAGAAAATATAATGAGACAAGCTATAGATGTCGCAAAATATAGTGATTAAGAACATGAGCTCGAGAGTCAGGCTACCTGAGTTGGAATTCCAGCATCCTTGCTTATTAGTTGTGTGACCTTCAGCTAGTTACTTAACCTAGCCTTGTCTAGGTTTACTTATCTGTAAAATGGTATTATAGCAGTACCTTCCTCATGGGATTGTTATGAGTGATAAATAAGATGATTTGAGTAAAATTTTTGACAGAGAAACTTCTTAATAGATGTTAGTTAACATCATCATCAATGGAGAACAAATTGACAAATTTAAAGGATTCAAAATTGTTTTGTCTGGATGGAAAAATAAGTTGAGAATGAGCTGCTAGATACAAAGAATGTCAGAGATAAAATGGAACTTAAAGGTCTCATACAAGGAAACTGAAGGTGACATGAGTTGTCCAATATCACACAGCTGGCTGGTAGTAGAACTAAGACTAGAACCCAAGGTTCCTGACTCCAAGTCCAGGACTCTTTCCACGATACCATGATACCCCCACCTTCAGTTACTTGGTCATCAGGACTATGGGGCTGTGGCACAGAGGGCATACACACAAAGGATGTAACAACACCCTGAATTTAATGATTTCAACATGAAGGATATAAAGCAAAAAAGACCAAACCCACTGCCATGGAGTTGATTCCGAGTCATAGGGACCCTATACGACAGAGAAGAACTGACACATAGGGTTTCCAAGGCTGTAAATCTTTACAGAAGCAGACTGCCACATCTTTCTCTCCTGGAGCGGCTGGTGGGTATGAACCACTGACCTTTTGGATAGCAGCCAAGTGCTTTAACCACTACACTACTGGGGCTCCCATGAAGGATATAGATATGTTATATGCAGATCAGTGACACTGAAAATGAAACACTTATATAGGTGAGCCCTGGTAGCATAGTGGTTAAGAGTTATGGTTGCTTACCAAAAAGCTGGCAGTTTGAAATTACCAGCTGCTCCTTGGAAATCCTATGGAGCAGTTCTACTCTGTCCTATAGGGTCGCTATGAGTCGCAATATATATTCCTATTTGTATGTATATATATATATATGTAAAGGCACAAAGATATGTCTAACTGAAACAATTGTTACTTCTGGGAAAGGAATTTGGATGGAAGAAGGATGGTCAACGGAAGGTCTTTTACTTTGTATACGTTTTCATATTAAGACTGTATTCATGTACTACTTGCATAATTTAAAAAGCACTCCTTTCTTTTCCTGAACCTGCTTCCCTTGGATCTCTGGGCCCCATCTGCACTTGGTTGCATTTGTAACTATTTTTCTGAACTGAAGAACAGGTACCTATTTGGTACAATCTTTCATTCTCTGCATTTGCCTAAACAAATCTACTCAGCTACCCACAGGAAAAGGAGGCCGAGTGGAGCAAAGGTTAAGGGCTCTGCTGCTAACCAAAGGTCAGCGTTTCAAACCTACCAGTAGCTCCACAGGAAAAAAGACCTGGTGATCTGCTCCCATAAATATTACAGCCTAGGAAACCCTATGGGGCAGTTCTACTCTGTCTTAGAGGGTTACTAAATGTCAGAATCACCTCACTGGCACACAACAACAAACGGCCCCCCGCCCCGGGAAATCTGGGAACAAATTCAAAGGTTGCCCTGAAACTTTAAGCCTGCAGTATTGCTATTGATGCAACACTTGGGGGACAAAAAGAAAATGAAAATGTTACCAAGTTCAACCAAAAGAAAAACAACAGAAAAAACACAGCTTGCAGAACATCTAGGTTTGAGTAAATGCATAGTCCTGTTTTAAGAAAAGCACGTTACACCTACATCGTAAGTATACTTATGTATGAGTCTGTAAGTATTTCCCTTGTAAATCTGTGATTCTGATTTTTAATAGCTCTCTTGCTGTAAGAGAAAAATATTTTTATTATTGAGGGAAACTATCCTGAAGTTATGTCAGTTGACTGTAAATTATAGTAAGGTGTGGTGAAATTGAGTAATTCCATCCACCCTTTACACACTAATAAAGCTATGCAGCTTTGTTGATTTGGGAAAAAATATGAAGAATGTCAGTATAATCAATAAAGTGATTGTTTTCCCTAATTACTATTAAAATTCTATTCTTTCACTTTTTGGGATTTTTTTTTTAATGGCAGAGCTTACACTTTAAAATTGAACTAGAAACAGATCAGACAAATCATAAATAAGAGTCAGCGTGAAGTAATCCGAGGGCAATAGTCTTAGTTGAGTTTTCAAAGGTAGCTCCCTATTTTGGTTTGAGAATTTTTACATGTAACATTTTTGCTTGATAATTTTGCAGTTTATTAAATACAGACATATAATATCATTGAGATGTATATTGGCACAGTCCTACAAGAAACGAACAAAATGAACACAACCTAAAAGTACAAGAATGTATTTGCTATGAAGGCACTCTAGAAACTGGAAATATTTTATCATTGATTTACTTGCAAAGCTGACAAAGTAATTCAGTAAAATGCTTGGAAAGATAGCCATCATCAAAGAAAAAGTGCTAAATAATGCTCATTTTACTGATGAATTGGATTATACTAAAAATAAAGGAAATAATACCTAAAGAACGTCTTAAGATTTTCAAATGACACTGCTTGGTAACAATTTCTGAACCTCCTTCTGTATCTTTCAACAGGACCTCCATTCTCCAACTCTGAAAGTATCTACTTGTGCCCCAAGCACTCTACATATAACGCAAAATACCGACCAGGTAAAAGAAGTTATAGTTTAGATTCTTTTTATGCAAGTTTTGCTCATAGGTTTAAACATTTAGTCCCTCACAAGACTTTACACATTCACAAAATGTCAGGACCATAAGGCAAGAAAGAAGGTTCTCACGTATGAGAATAAGCCCATTAGAGGAATGTGAAACAAGTGATGTGAATCAGATATTTAAATTTCATTGCCAACTCAATTTGATTGCTTTTATTTTGAGTGCCTCTTATTTTGGTCAAAGATCTCCTAGTGAGTATGGATGTAAGGATCCTTGATTTGAATATGAATAAAGTACCTAGACCTTGGATTGATGAGGGTCTGATTTTGTGAGTGATATTACTATAAGTTTAATTTCAGAGAGAATAACTTGTAGGGTAAGAGCTAGCCATTTCTATAAGTGTATTATTTGAAAGACACGAGGAATCATATCTCCTTTAGTCTTTACAGTCTAACAACACCACTTTTGAGATTACTCTTGAGTGCAGGCATTGTGTCTTCAATTACCTATGATAATAATTCAATACCATATTAACAAATCTGTGTTTAATTACCTAGTTGACATATATAAAAAAAGTAAGCTCTAAGAAAATAAAACATAAAACACCCTAAAGTTGGGGTTATGGGAGGATATTATAAGGGATGTGGGATTTGGAGGATAAGTGGGACAGGAATACTCTTCTAAGGAAACAAGCAAGTCCAGATGAGGTGCCAAAGTGTGAGTTTGGACAGTGAGAGGACAAATGGGCAAAAAGCGGAGCCCTGGTGTCACAGTGGTTAAGAGCTCAATTGCTAACCAAAAGGTCAGCAGTTCGAATCCACCAGGTGCTCCTTGGAAACTCTATGTCCTATAGGGTCGCTATGAGTTGGAATCAACTCAACAGCAATGGATAGACCTTGGACACAGTAAGGAACATGTGAAGTTATGCAGTACAAATAATAAGATTATCAAAGATTACCACTTCCTAATTCAGCCTAGCCTAGAGCTAGTCATGGTCAGTTAAAGTCATGCATTTTTCCAGCAAACATTTGTTGAGTGCCTAATATGTGCCAAATATTATACAAAGATGAATTAGACTCAATCTCTATTCTCAAGGAATTCAAAAACTAGAATGGGTCACATACACAACAAACCATAGGACAGTGGGATAAACGCTACAATTGAGTTAGAAAATGAGCATCCAGGACTGCTAAGATAAAGATTACCTCAGAAAAGTCAGTCCAATTAAATCACAGTCAGAAAATTGCATTGACTAAGTTCTTCTTCATAATGAGAGACTTTAAAATTGGCTGTGCCCTATGTTTTATTTCTGATAATAAAAATATGGGTTTATTGTAGAAATTTTTGCAATTATAAAAGAATATGAAGAAGAAAAAAATAAAAACCACTCATTATTCCTTTCCCCACCCAGAGATATTAGTACGACATTTTTTTTTTTGTTTTCTTCCATTCAAATACAAAATTTGGATCATACCATATACGCAGTTTTATAACCTGATTTTCTCGCTTAATCTTATTTAAGATTGTGAGCCTTTTGCTCATGTAAATTTGTATTACTCAAGAACATTATTTTAATGGCTACACGTTTCAGCCCATGGACGATTATTTAATGTTACCCTCTCCATAGCAGAGTGCTTTTCCTACTGCACCCTCATCAGCATTAATTTTTTTTTAATTTGCCAGTTTTACAGTTAAAATAAAGTATTCCTTTGTTATGTTTATTTGATTCCTACTTTGGTTGAATATAGTTTCTTAAATTTATTAACCATTTATCTTTCTTCTTTTGTAAATTCTTCATTCCGTTTGCTCATTTTTCTATTAGTGTGGACATGTTTTTCATATTGATGTGTAAAAACTCTATATTAATGATATTGACTCTTTTCTCCATGAAAAGTTTACAAATGACTTTGTTTTGTGTTCTGTCTCCCTTGAAATACTATTCATGGCCCTCTCCCACCGACACATTGAAGTTTTAAATGTTTAAGTTAACACACACAACACACACTCGCACATTTCTTCTCTTTGTGACACCTTTCTTTTTCTTTTTTACATAGGATGTCTATTCAATATCTAAGATATAGTTAATAAATATTAAGCTATATTTTCTTCTAATCATGTGGGGACATTCATTTACAATCGAAAATATTTTGAAGATCTCATCAAATATAATTTGGAAAACGAGATGAGTCACCATGAAATCAGTACAACTGAAGTGCCTATTGCAGTGCTGAACATACAACACAAGCTTTCATATATGTTTCTGAGATTGAAATTAACTAAATCATAAATTCATATATCATCATTCATGCAAATGACTCTAAAAATCTAACTCCAATAATTGCTCTCTATTATTATTGATGGCTCCAAGATCACTAAATGACTATGATTATATGCAGTTTTTACCTTCTCTTCACAGGAACTCCATTCTCCAACAGTGAAAGTTACTACATATCCACAGACCACCATTAGGAGATATATAGTACAAAATCCTGAACAGGTAAGATATGTCAAGCAAACTGTTTTCTCAACCTATAATTCCTTATAAGTAGATAGCATTAACAAGAAGAGTGAGTCAGTCATCAGATCCTTAAAATCAGATTGTTGGACTTTCTTCCAGTTATAATATAGTGAATTTCTAATCATTAATATAAAAAAAAAAAGCCACCATTCGTCCATCAGTTTGTTGTACTCTGGTGGCTTGCATGTTACTGTGATGCCAGAAACTATGCCACCGGTATTTCAAATACTAGAAGGGTCACCCATGGTGGACAAGTTTCAGAGGAGTCTCCAGTCTAAGACAGACTAGTAAGAAGGACTTAGTGGTTTACTTCTAAAAAATTGACCAGTGAAAACCTTATGAATAGCAGCAGAACATTGTCTGATACAGTGCTGGAAGATGAGCCCCTCAGGTTGGAAGGCACTCAAAATACAACTGGAGAAGAGCTGCCTCCACAAAGTAGAGTTGACCTTAATGATGTGGATGGAGTCAAGCTTTCATTTGCTGATGTGGCATGATGCAAAATGAGAAGAAACAGCTGCAAACATCCATTAATAATAGGAACGTGGAATGTACAAAGCATGTATGCAAATCCACGAGAGCCAAAGTATGACCTCGAGTATATTCCACCTGAATTTAGAAACCATCTCAAGAATAGATTTTACTCATTAAACACTAATGACATAAGACCAGACAAGTTGTGGAATGACATCAAGGACATCATACATGAAGAAAGCAAGGGGTCATTAAAAAGACAGGAAAGAAAGACCAAAATGGATGTCAGAAGAGACTCTGAAACTTGCTTTTGAATGTACAGTAGCTAAAGTGAACAGAAGAAATAATGAAGTAAAAAAGTTGAACAGAAGATTTCAAAGGGTGTCTTGAGAAGACAAAGTAAAGTATTATAATGACATGTGCAAAGACCTGGAGTTAGAAAAACAAAAGGGAAGAACACGTTTGGAATTTCTCAAGCTGAAAGAATTGAAAATTCAAGACTCAAGTTGCAGTAGTGAAGGATTCTATGGGGAAAATATTAAACAACTCAGGAAGCTTGAAAAGAAGATGGAAGGAATACACAGAGCCACTGTACCAAAAAGATTTGGTTATTGTTCAACCATTTCATGAGGTAGTATATAATCAAGAACTGATGGTACTGAAGGAAGAAGTCCAAGCTTCATTGAAGGCACTGGGGAAAAACAAGGCTCCAGGAATTGACAGAATACCAACTGTCATGGATTAAATTGTGTCCCCCAAAAATATGTGTATCAATTTGGCTAGGCCATGATTCCCAGTATTGTGTGATTGTCCACTGTTTTGTCATCAGATGTGGTTTTCCTATGTGTTGTAAATCCTAATCTCTGCCTGTGGTTAATGAGGCAAGATTAGATTATGTTAAGAGGGATTATTAGTGTGGGATGTAATATCTTTGCTCAGGTCGCATCCCTGATCCAATATAAGGGGAGTTTTCCTGGGGTGTGGCCTGCACCGCTTTTTATCTTACAAGAGATAAAAGGAAAGGGAAGAGAGCAGAGAGTGGGGACTCCCATAACACCAAGAAAGCAACACTGGGAGCAGAGTGCATCCTTTGGATCTGGGGTTCCTGTGTGGAGAAGCTCCTAGTCCAGGGGAAGATTAATGACAAGGATCTTCCTTCAGAGTCAACAGAGAAAGCCTAACCCTGGAGCTGACGCCCTGAATTTGGACTTGTAGTCTACTGGACTGTGAGAGAATAAATTTCTCTTTGTTAAAGCCATCCACCTGTGGTATTTCTGTTACAGCAGTACTAGATGACTAAGACACCAACTGAGATGTTTCAACAAATGGATGCAGCCCTGGAGGCACTCACTTATCTATGCCAAGAAATTTGGAAGACAGCTACCTCGCCAACCAACTGAAAGAGATCCATACTTGTGCCCATTCCAAAGAAAGGTGTTCCAATAGAATGTGGAAATTATCAAATAATATCATACACAAGTAAAACTTTGCTGAAGATCATTCAAAAGTGGCTGCAGCAGTACATCGACAGGGAACTGCCACAAGTTCGAGGCGGGTTCAGAAGAGGACGTGGAATGAGATATATCATTGCCGATGTCAGATGGAATTGGCTGAAAGCAGAGAATACCAGAGAGATGTTTACCTGCGTTTTATTGACTATGCAAAGGCATTCGACTGTATGCATCCTGACAAATTATGGATAACATTGTGAAGAATGGGAATTCCAGAACACTTAACTGTGCTCATGAGGAACCTGTACATAGATCAAGAGGCAGTTGTTTGGACAGAACGAGGGGATACTGCATGGTTTAAGGTCAGGAAAAGTGTGCGTCAGGGTTGTATCCTTTCATCATACTTAATCAATCTGTATGCTGAGCAAGTAATCCGAGTAGCTGGACTATATGAAGAAGAAGGTGACATCAGAATTGGAGGAAGACTCATTAACAACCTGCGATATGCAGATGACACAACCTTGCTTGCTGAAACTGAAGAGGGCTTGAAGCACTTAGTGATGAAGATCAAAGACCACGGCCTTCAGTATGGATTACACCTCAACATAAAGAAAACAGAAATCCTTATGACTGGATCAATAAGCAACATCATGATAAACGGGAAAAGTGTGAATTTGTCAAGGATTTCATTTTACTGGGATCCACAATCAACACCCATGGAAGCAGCAGTCAAGAAATCAAATGATGTATTGCGTTGGGCAAATCTGATGCAAAAGACATCTTTAAAGTGTTAAAAAGCAAAGGTGTCACTTTGAGGACTAAAGTGTGCCTGACCCAAGCCATAGTATTTTCAATTGCCTCATACGCACGCGAAAGCTGGACGATGAATAAGGAAGACCAAAGAAGAACTGATGCCTTTCAATTATGGTGTTGGTGAAGAATACTGAATGTACAACGGACTTCCAGAAGACCAACTAAATCTGCCTTGGAAGTACAGACAGAATGCTCCCTAGAAGCAAGGATGGTGAGACATCGTCTCACATACTTTGGAAGTATTATCAGGAGGGACCATTCCCTGGAGAAGGACATCATGCTTGGTAAAGTAGAGGGTCAGCGAAAGAGAGGAAGACCCTCAACAAGATGGAATGACACAGTGGCTGCAACAATAGGGTCAAGCATAAAAACGACTGTAAGGATGGCACAGGGCCAAGCAGTGTTTCGTTCTGTTGTACATAGGATTGCTATGAGTTGGAACTCACTGGTGGCACCTAACAACAACAGTATCAAAAAATGTTATTTGTAATTCCAGAAAACTGTGCACCCATACATTCTGACACAGACATGCAACAATTAAAACAGTATGGCAATTCTTGGGTTACAAAGGTTTTCTATTTCTATAGCCCCACCCCTGTGCTACATAGGATTTTTGTGCACTTTGAACCAAAGAAAAGAACAAAGTTCTTTTAGAGACTTCACATAAAAACTCTGTCGGCCATTACTTCAGGATTTGGAGTCTTTATCTAATCCGTTTAGATTTGCCGATGAGATATGGGCTAGGAAAAAGAAAATTAAAAGTCAAAAGTTCAAAAGTGTCTCCACGCCTTTGATGCCTATGGTGTGTGAACTTTTTGTGCCTGGCAATGAGCAGTTTAAAAGATTACATTATTATATTTTCTATTAACATACATAACTTTATATTTTACAAGCAAGGATATTATTCTCTATCTCCATTTGAGGAGAAAATTAAGAAAACTTTTTCCGTGGTAATAAACTTTCTTCAACACGCACGCACAAATGAGCATGCACATCCACTTTCTTTAGCTGCAACAAGAGTTTATATGGGGCTATAAGGACATCAGTTCACAACTAGAAGCAGTATTCTCCAGATAGGAATAGTGCAATTGTTTTTCCTCTTTATTTTATTTTTTCACTATTGCAGGAAACAATCCCTCTTTCCCCTACAAAATAAAATAAATTATTTGCTTCAGCTGTGGAAAGAAAATGGTTAAAGTAGGGTAACACACTTGCTATTATTCTAGATGCAGGTAGGTGAGGGAGGATGCACTATTCTTCTACTTATATATATTTCCCCGCTTACTTTTCTTTTTATATTTTAGAATAATCTTCTCTTGTCTCCTTAGGTAGGCAGGCTGCTAAGTGTGCATATGTGAGTGTGTGAGACCTTATGTGCATGTAGGTCTGAGTTGAGGGTGATTGCTTTGGACATTTGCTTGAGATTTCATATAGCCATGTAAATATGGAAAGTATGTGATTATAGCTAAAGCAGCTAACCCTTTTTTTTGCAGAATCATATATGTTTAAGCAACAAACCTGAAAGGTTGGTAAGGTGAGACTGTAGAGATCCTGGGAGAGGAATATTATCTTTCTATCGTTTGAACAATCACTTTTTTTAAAATTAAGACTTTATTTTTAGAGCAGTTTTAAGTTTACAGAAAAATTGAGCAGAAAGTACACAGTTCACATATACCCCCACTCTCCCCACACAGTTTTTCCTATTATTAAACTTTTGCACTGATGTTGTGTGCCCTCGAGTCGATTTGATTCATAGCGACCCTGTATAACAGAGTAGAACTGCCCCATAGTGTTTCCTATGCTGTAATCTTTATGGGAGCAGATCGCCAGGTCTTTTCTCCTGCGGACCTGCTGGTGGGTTCAAACTGCTGATCTTTTGGTTAGCTGCCGAGCACTTAACCATTGCATCACCAGGGCTCCTCCATCTTGCATTAGTGTGGTACATTTCCTACAACAGATGAACCGATATTGATACATTATTATTAACTAAAGTCCATAATTTACATTAAAGTTCACTCTTTGTGTTCTGCAGTTTTATGGGTTTTGACAAATGCAAAATGTCATGTACCTACCATTACAGTATCATACCAAATAGTTTCATTGCCCTAAAAATGCCCTGTGCTCCACCTATTCCTCACTCTCCCTGAACCCCTGGCACCACCAATCTTTATACTGTCTCTGTTGTTTTGTAATTTTCGTTTCTTGTAGTGTCTTTGTCTAGTTTTGTTATTAGTTAATACT